CTTCTCTCTCTCTCCTCTGTCTCTTCTCTCTCTCTCCTCTGTCTCTTCTCTCTCTCTCCTCTATCTCTTCTCTCTTTCTCCTCTGTCTCTTCTCTCTCTCTCCTCTGTCTGTTCTCTCTCTTCTCTGTCACTTCTCTATCTCTTCTCTGTCTCTTCTCTGTCACTTCTCTGCCTCTTCTCTCTCTCTCTCTCCTGTCCCTTCTCTCTCTCTCTCCTCTGACAATCTCTCATTTTTTTTATCTTGCTCTTTATCTTTACCTTGCTCTTTATCTTTCTCTCTTATTAACCCTTTCTTTCCCTCCCTCATATTCCATATCTAATGTGCAAATAGTAGATGTAATATGTTGTACACAAAAATGTATACATGCTGAGGTATGGAAATAGCTAATAAACTCCCTATTTACCATTTCCATTACATACTTATATGTTATGTATTATTCAGAGAGTTATGTTTACATGAAAGAATTTGAAAGGACTATTACCGCTGTCATTTGGAGCTATTTACATAATGGTTTTTGCTGTATTTCAGAGCACCTACACATGCAGGAGGTCTCTTTGCTATTAACAGAGAGTACTTTTTGAGTTTGGGAGCTTATGACCCAGGACTGTTGGTTTGGGGTGGTGAAAATTTTGAACTGTCATTCAAGGTATGTGAATGTATATAGATAAGCAATGCTTATATTGATGCATAGTAAGAGATAATGAAAATCAGTCAGTGAGAGTGATGAATAAAAGTGTATCTGACTGTAGTTTTTACATAGTTTTGGTTGGTGATGCATGATATTTACTGGGGTAAAAATTGAAAATGAAATATAATGGGACATTTTGTTTTGATAGGTTTGGCAGTGTGGAGGCAGTATTGAATGGGTTCCTTGCTCTCGAGTTGGCCATGTGTATAGAGGATTTATGCCTTACAACTTTGGAAAATTAGCTGAAAAGAAAAAGGGCCCACTTATTACTATCAATTACAAGAGAGTTATTGAGACATGGTTTGATGATAAGTACAAGGAATACTTCTACACACGAGAACCTCTTGCAAGGTAACTAACTATTTGATAGTCTGTAAACTATTCTTATATTTTCTTAAAATGGAAACTGTTATAAGTGTTTTTAATTTCTTTTTTTTTGCTGTAAATTCATTAATTTTTCTTTTTTTTTAATTCATAGATATTTAGATATGGGTGATATCAGTCAGCAGCTGGAAATGAAGAAGCGTTTAGAATGCAAGAGCTTCCAATGGTTTATGGATAATGTGGCGTATGATATGCTAAGGAAGTATCCCGAACTACCTCCCAATCTTCATTGGGGTGAGGTAAGTCAGAGTTGCTTTTGCCTTAGAAACTTTGTTAATTGTTCTAAATTTTATCACTTTATTGATTTTATTTTGGATCACTTGTAATGTGGTAACTGAAAGAGTAATATATCCAAAACTGTTTGTGTTTTAATTTTTTTTGATAGTGGTCTTTGAAAAAAAGAAAGCATAATAGATCTTAGCCATTAGATACCAGTTAATGGAGAATAGTTGCTATTTTTCTAATGCTTTTGTCTAGGAAGACTTTAATAATTAAATTGAATTTACTGTTTTGATTTATTTCATTCATATTTATGTTTCTCTTTGTGTATACTTTATAAAGTCATTGTAGATTATAGGAAACTTTTATGAAGGTAAAGATAATAAAACTTGATATAGCTTCTAAGAAAGAAATTCATAGGCAATGTGGGGAACTTATCATTGTCCTCTTCTTCTGTGTTCCTTTTATTTTCTTGTCTTTCTTTTGCTAGATGAATTACAATTTTACTCACTGAACACAAGTTCATTTCATTTCTACTCTTCCTCAAGTCAACATTCACATTTCTCTTTGTGTGAGAGATTTGTCTGTTTGGGAAAGTGCTATTACAAAATGAAGCATGCCAAAGAAGTTCTCTCCTTTTGCGGCATAATCACCCCTCTTTTTTGCATGACAAGGCTGTTCACTCCTACCCCTAGATAGTAGTACATTGGTGAACTCCATATTAGCCCATTGCTGCTTGGGAAAATGAATAAAAAAGGGGGAAAATGCTGTGCTCATTTTTTTTTTTATATTTTTGTGAAATGTCTCTGTACCTAGATGGCTCTGCTAGTGCTTAGCCACAAAGGAGTCAATTAGGAGATCTTGAGACCTTACTGATTTCACCTTTCCTTGAATTGGCGGCAATGGGTTAGGGATCTTGTGGCATTTTTATGTTCTAAGATTCGTTCATTGTGAAATTAGGTTACTAATATTGGATGTACAGGTATGATGAATTATGAGATGGATTAATTTCATGTAGTTGTGAGGAGAGAGTGATGTTTTATATGTTATATTATATTATATTATATATTATATTATAATGTATTATATCATATATTATAGACTATACACAACATTTATATTAGCCCTTTTTTTAATACTTTCGATAGTGGTGAATGTAATTTTCCTGACTTTCTCAAAAGTATATATGCAAGAGTTCATTTTATTTCCCACATCATTATCTTGGTCTGTTGGGTCTTCCTTTGTAGTTCATATCAGAAGGCTCTATCTCAAAAATTGTCTACAGAAAAATAAAACACATTAAAGTGGTTTGGCATGTATTTAGAAGAAGAAGAAAAAAAATGAATGATTGTAATTTCTTTTAGTTGTAAAAGACACTGAGATCTTTAACTTACAGTAACAGATGTAAGTTTGAAAAATGTGTGCACAGCCAAAATATGGATGATCCTTTTATCTCAGATTCGTTATGTCTTGCAATCTGTATTTTTCACTTTTTTTTAAGCATAGTTTTGTTAGCATTAGATATTTAGTTGAATTTTAGCTTTTTTTAATAAGAAACTAGTAGATGTGATAACTATTTTCTTTTAACAAATGAGGAGTCGTTTTGTTGCAAATTAATATAAGAGGAACTACTTTGCATGCATTGTTGACTATCCATCTGACTACTACATTTAATTTACCTTTGTTTCAGTGAAACATGATCTCTTATATATAGTAAATGTTTTATATGATGATTTGTATTTAGATACATAGATTTTTACGATATATAGATTTAGAGTTCATAAGCAATAATAATATCATCCCATTCTTTTTATGAATATAACATTGTAAGAAATTTTGGTAGGAATGTAATTAGATTTTATATATGCACACAAGATATCCTGTAAGTATGTCTTGTAATCTTTTTTCCAACAAAAAAAATCTTAAAAGGCTTAGGTGATACATTTACCCTTGCATAGACAACCTAAGAGACATGACAATACCAAGACTCACAGACTTTTTAAAACTGACCGGTAGCTCCGCAGTGTAGTTGGTGACTTCTGTTGGGACATTGTTGGCCAGGATGCTCCATCTGTGGTTGAGACCTATCCATGTATGGGAGACTCACTGGGTGCAGATACTAGTCAGGTATTTGGTATGATTAATCAGTAAAGGTTAAGGCTGCATGAGGTAGTGGTTGAATAGAGATGTGTTGGACAGCAGACACTTACCTTGTGCTTATTTTGAAGGTGATGGAGTATCTGGTATTTCTTGGCTGGTTCATGCAGTTTTGAGGGTTGCATTGTTCATATCTCTCTTTTCTACATGTGTTCATAATGTTAAGAGATTCTCATATTTAACTCATCAGATTTCACTGATTTGGTTAAAGCCTGTTGGACCTAGAGGTCGTGACATATATCATGAAAATTTTTGATAGCTAGTCAGGTGACAGGAATATGTATCATTGAAAAGGTACCATCATGAAAAATTTGGCTGAATGTCAAGGTGATTAGAATTAATTACTGTGAGTACACAAAACTCTTGAGAAGATGATTAAACTGAGTAAGCATTTAGGAAGGAAGATGTCATCCAGGAGCCATGGCTGGAAAAGAGCTGGCTCCAGGGAGGAGACTATTTCCATACTCAGGATCTTATTTCTGCCGGCCATGACCAGTAGCACAGTGTTTGTTACAGAAAATCTAATGAAATAAAAATATTTAAAAATAACACAAATAACAAAATGTTATTCAGTGTTATTGTTATTGCACAGACTTGCAGATTGCCTTGAGAAATATGGAATCTGTATAAGCAAATGAGTCTATTAATATCTTGATATAGTATATCAAATAATAAACAGACCTTTGAAATGGCAAAAAAACAAAAAATAATACTGCAGAAAGAGATAATAACATTGTAAAGGGGAGGCAAGTGTATGTGTGTATGGACTGGGCCTGCAAACCACACATCTGCAAGTCACAATTCAAGTAACATATCTGGATTTTGGGCCATGTGTGGGCAGCAAGGCACCTGGATCCAATGAGTTAAGGAATAACACACTTTTGTCATGGCACAGTAATGAAAACATACAAGTTAGTTTCTTTTCCATATCATATGAACTGTTATTCACAGTTCATATTATATGGATTTCCATTCACATATTGACAAACTGGTTCATTCATATTTAGAATTTTGAACATAACAAACTTCCATGCTCCAAATAAGGTAGGATCTATGTATGTGCTGGTTTTTAAGGGGATAGTAGAGGTCTGCAGTGATTTTTCAGTAGATATTATTCTGGTAGTGATCTACAAGCAGGGAGGATAGAAGTCATGGATGCTTTTCTTGACTTTTTATTCTGGCAGTATGTGGTACTGGTGTGTGAACAACTGCATTGCTCTCTTATGGTAAATAAGGTTGATGGTGATTTCACACAATTCTATATCACACTTTAGACTCATGGATCTTTAAATTCCTCTGGCTTCAGCTTTGATGAGTTCCTTACACTGTCTGTGGAGTAAGGTAATACTCATCATTCTTTCATCTTCTAACACACTTTCCACAGCTACGTAATGCTGCTACTTCCCAGTGCCTTGATACTATGGGTCACCCAGCTCCAAGTTTGATGGGTATAGCACACTGTCATGGGTTTGGTAACAATCAGGTATGTGAATTGATAGTATTCCAATTTTAGAGGCATGCTTATGTTTATTTGTAAATATATATTGATTTGTATAGAGTTAGTGTAAAGTTCAATTGTTTTCTTTGAAGTGTAATATTAATCTATGCATAGAAAAGTTAAGCTCATGTTTAGTTATTTTATATAATTATCTTGTACTACCATGTAAAGTATTTGACAATAAAGTAATTTACCAAGTGAAATAATGATTTTGATAGTAATCCAAAGTTTGGTCTATAATATTTCAGTAAGGTATTAATTAATTATTATTATTATTTTTTTTATAAAACAGTTGATACGGCTAAATGCTGAAGGACAGCTAGGTGTAGGGGAGAGATGTATTGATGCTGATACCCAGGGGATCAAGTTAATTTTCTGCCATTTAGGAACTGTGAATGGTCCTTGGGAATACGATGAGGTGAGTTCTTTTAATTTCTTTTAATACCATATCTAGCATTTGCTTGGATTTATTGTCTGGAGAGTTCTTTTTAAAAGAAAGTATGATGTAGATTTGTTTTCTATAATTAGATTATAAGTGATAGGATTTTGATAAGGTAGTTATATGCGGGTGATGATGATATTACAACATTGTCAATATCCATTTCCTTACAGTCAATAAATTAATTGAGGATCATGATCAAATAGTAGCAGTATACCACATATTTGATATGGAATCATGGGACAGATTTAAGATATTGATCAACCTGCAATATTGATTGGATGCTTAAGTTATCCCATGGGTTGACAGAATTGAGCAGGTAGTTAGGTAATTTCAGTATTATTTGCTGTTATTTTATGATCATGATCAAATAGTAGTAGTATACCACATATTTGATATGGAATCATGGGACAGATTTAAGATATTGATCAACCTGCAATATTGATTGGATGCTTAAGTTATCCCATAGGTTGACAGAATTGAGCAGGTAGTTAGGTAATTTCAGTATTATTTGCTGTTTATTTGCATCTCCACAGGCTTCATTCACAAATGTGGGAAAACCATAGTGAGTTTTCAGACAACTTTGGAAGGCTGGGAAGTTCTCCCATACTATCAAGTGTAATTGATAACTATAGTCTAAACCATAAGTCATATCTATCACCCACTGACAGCCATAATCTGGACCAAAACTTGTTTGTTAACAGCTGTCTGGGACAGGATGATACATAAACAGTCCCCTTTTTATACTGATTAGCATTAGCAGTTTTATAGTTCTGCTACATAAGGGAGGATATGTTCTCTTGAAGTTTCAATATATGAGCACTGTAGAGCTGTGGTGAATTAATATCCAACTTAATATACTGTGGATAGGTAAGGATATTAACATGAATTAAATTGAGACTACTGATTTTAAAGGCATATTCATAAGGATTTTTAAGGCATTATGTTATGAAGATCTGATTAAATTAGGTAAATACAAGTATTGGTTGTTTATTTTTCTTTATAGGTATATTTATTGTGAATGTTCTCCATGTATAGTGTGTAAAATTTTAATTGTATATGAAGGGTGTAATATGGCAAAGGGTAGGTAAGAAAAATTATCAGAGCTTTAAGATTGGGTTTGAGAAATAAAGAAAATATTTGCTTTCATGAAAATGAGAGAAACTAAGGAAAAATGCACAGTAATTCTCAAGCCTCTTATGGTGTCTTGTTCCAGACAAGTCATTTGCTGTTCCACAAGAAGTTAGGGAAGTGTGCTTCTCTCCATCCACAAAATAACCAACTGTTGCTGCTTCCCTGCGACCCAGTCAACAACTACCAGAAGTGGAATTTTAAGCAGATTACCCCTAAGTGGTGAGAGGGTGTAAGAAAGGTTGTGATAGTTTGTGCGTGATTTTTTCCTGAGGACTGAATTATGTTTAAATGAGTGTTGAATAGATAAATAAGTAAATGAGTTTATATGTATGTACATACATATAGTTTTATGCAAAAGAAGGAAATCACTATTACCTGTAAATTTTAAGAAGAGTTGTCAGTCATTAAGTGTAGAAAATATGATAATCAGAAGTCCATTGTGACTGCCAGTTGTGATCCAAATTACATGATAATATATTCTAGTTAATCAAATATAAGAAAAAAATCTTGCACATGGAAGGAGAATACACCGTTCTTTGGACAGTGTAATATATTTTAATCCAATGCTGTTGGGAACATGTGATATCCACTGTACTGTTGCTTTGTAAAATGTGTTTACACATAGATAGCACCACAAGTGCACAGCCACCAAGGATTCAATGAATGGACTTGATCTTACCTGATTTCCCCCTTCTTTGAGTTTTTGGGATTTGTTTTCTAATGCTGTTGTTATTGTTATTGAGATTATAATCATGATATTATTAACAATACTAGTTGCAATATAAGTTAAGAATAATTCCAAAAATTGAGGAAAATGGTAAAAAGATGAGATAGGTAGGACTAGTGATTGACTACTTTGTGAAGCCATTTATGAGTAAACACAATTTGTAAACTAAACTCACACTGGGCATGGTATGTATGTGCATGCCAGCCCCAGCAACATCGGGTTGAATTAAAATTTGCCCTAATGTTTGTATTCTGACATTACAGTTTATAGTTGATCTATAGATATTTAATTTTATACAGTGAGATGTAAGAAGTCAGGTTACCATTTTTAGTTTATAATATCCAGAAATAAACATAGTGTGATGTTATGAACTCTGGTTAAATACAGAAAAGTTAGCTATTATTTTAACAGCATGTGAAAAATTTTGCTTGAAAACATTTTTGATAACAGAGAAAAGGAAATTTGGAGAAGTGCAACTCAGTCCTAACAAGAGAGATGGACTGCTGAACAGAAGGGAATACTATTCCATTTTTAGTAAATTATTGGACTATATATTGTATTTATTTTATTGGCTTTAGCAAATGCTAATGGATAATTTGATTGTTATCTATTTTGTTTATATAGTCAATAGAAATAGGTGTTGTTTCCAAGTCGTTTTTTTTTTTCTTTTTTTTTACAGAAATAGTAAAAATATTTCATCTAGTACACTTCTTTTTGCATAATTTATAATTCTAATCTTGATTATTTAAAGTGAAGGGAAAGCATCTCCCACATCCTTGGTTCTTCTGAATTTATTTTAGTAACATGCATTAATTATTGGTAAGATGATTCCATTTTGAATAGATTATAGATGAATACATATATCTTGTGATCCATATGGCAGAATTAGATGTATTTAACCCCTTGGATCTGGGTGACTTGACCTTCATGTCACGAAGAAATTTGGCTGAGAGCTGGATGATGGGAATATGTTGTCATAAGTGCACAAAGCTCTTGGAGTGTGATAAGACTCAGTGGGCATTTAGGAAGGGGCTCTAGCATTGTTTCCATCAGTAAATGAGTTTGGAATCTACCATTTGTGAGCCATGACTGGGATAGTGCTGGCTACAGTGAGGACACTATTTTTATGGTCAGAGTCCTTATTCTGACATAAATGACAATGTTATTTATTGTTCTATGTATTGCACAGAGATATTAATTAACTACTTAGAGAGATGACATGGAATCTGTGCAAGGCAACCAGTATATTACCTTCTTGATGCAGCATATCAAATGACAAATATAGATCTTGAAAGATTGGAAAAAACAACAAAAAAACATTGCAAAGGAATGTTTGTGTTGCCTGGGCCTACAAGACACACATGGGAGAGTTGCCACTAAAGTAAGCTTAATGGCCAGATTTTGGGCCAGGTCCGGGCAGCGAGGCACCCGGATCTAGTGGGTTAAGCATGCAGTAGTTTTAGTACTACCATGTGCTCTTTCATCAACCTTTTTATGCTTTGCCAGATCATATTATTTGTAAGTATTTACATGCAGAAAAGTAGTAATTTAAATAGCCTTCAATATTCAATTTGGTATAGAAAACTGACTGGTGTAAATAGTAAAGACACAAGCAGATACCATATTTTATGTTCTTGAATTATTCTGATATTTCCCTGTTACTTTCTTGCTTTGTTCTCTCTCTTCTCTTTTCTTTAGTCTCTACCTTTGTATCTCTTGTTTTCTTTATCCCAGCCTCTCATTTTTTATTGTTATTATTGTACTGTAGAAGTGGCACTGGGTTATTTAGTGTGTGTGGTGTAGATCATTCTTGGGTGTGTTTTTACTTAAAGCTGCATTGAATAATTTTATGTAATGTTTTGCTCATAACTTTAATGATAATGAAATGGCATCACAAATTATTGAGAATACTCTTGTGATTCTTGAAATATGGACTTTTGATAAACAGATGTTTTTATGATCTTAATATGATTATGAATCTGCTGTTAATCTCAGTGTATGTGTATGCAAGTATGAGAGCTAGGGCTTTATTGGTTTACTTAACTTTTCCATGATTTTGAGAAATGGTGTTGATTGATTTAGCCTTTGTATAAATGATTTGATGTGAAAAATTAATAATTTTTTAAAAAATTTATGTAAGTCTGTTGACTTCAGCCTTGCCCCTTCCTTCGTTTAGCTCTTAAATTTTGGAATAGAATTTACCTTAAAGAGTACAGTCAGGTTTGTATTAAAAATGATTCAAGAAATTGGTTAAAATTAACCCCCCGATTACTTTTTCATTGTACCTAATCTTTACACCATTTACTAATCCCATACTCTCTATTAAGATGTAGTAAATATTGAAAAGAAGAGTGATGCAACTGCATCTTAACTGCTTTAACCCCTTACCAATGGGAAAGCCTATAATTGGGTAACCTCTAACCATCATTAGTTGGTCTTGCACTAGTTCTCTGGAGCTCCCAGAAAGGCTACCTGGCTGGCTGCAAGCAGCAAGGATCAGGTGAACTGCTCTGACAGATCCCATTAGAAGTGCTGAAGAGTGAATTTTTGGACTGGTGTCAAGGGGGTAAAGTCTAAAGATTAATAGAAATATGGCATTGAAAGTAAGATGCATAAATCTTCATAAGGTTTGGTATCACAACTTTATTTATCAGTTTAATATAATCAGAAAATGGTAATTGTTTTTAGTTCAATTGTAAAAAAATAATGAAAGATGAGTTGGTTAAGACAGTAATATGAAAAAGATAAGATACTTATTCTTTTGTATATATATTTTTTTCAGTTGTAGGGTTTTTGGTATTTCTTGCAACTCAAGGGTTTTGAGCTAAGATGGTGCTGGAAGAGACAATGTACTTTTTTTTTATATTCCTTTGTTGCTATTTTTAATTCTGATCTGTGCACAGATGAGGTAGTTTGTTTTTTAAATGTGATTTTTGTGAGATTTAAGTCTTATGCATGTGTCGAATAATTAAATTACAAGCTTTCTGTATATTGTTGACCAGTATGAACATTCCTTACCTTATTCCGTAATTGAGTTCTGTGATCTCATTTTCTTTTGAAAAATTCTGCAATATTTAGAATTCCACACTTTATTGCATGAACATTTTCATACATTTTGTTTTTTTGTATTTTGTGTGTGTGTATGGGATGAAGGATCTGTAAGTATAATGTGCATAAAACTTGAAAGTCCTTATGATTTAACACAAAAAAATGCTCATGAGTAGTTACACCTCTTGCACCTAAGCAAATATACTTTCAGTGATATCACTGTATTTGTTTTCTTTTGGTGATCCAGCAATGAGAGCAGGGCTAGTGTATGGTAAAATGTCTAATTTTCTTTAAAAAAAAGGGGGAAAATGAAATAGATAAATATATGTATATTAGGGGGATGCATTAGGAGATTCCAAGTGGAGGTTTTAGTATTTTTCTTGTCATAATGTATTTGGTCAAATATGGATTTTTTTGTGATAATATTCTGCTAAAGTTGTAAGAAAAGAAACAAAGCAAAAACATATCTTTTTCTTTTCTTTCTTTTTCAAACTGAGAATTTGAGGTAATTATTTTTTGGAACTGTTGATAATATTGATATTAAAATTCTGTATATTTTCTTAGGCATAACATTTTAAAGAAATGAATTTGAGTATTTTTGGTGGACGATCTGGGAAATAAATAAAATTGCAGATCATAGATAGGATGGTAAATAGCAATACTAATACTTATAATGTTTTAAATCTTTGAGTTTGAGAGATAGTTATTATTGTTACCAATGCCAGGTAAACATAGGAATTGTAAACACTTTCAAAATAATTTTTCTTTTGCACACATATTAGTTCAGACATTCTGAGAATTAATTTAACCTAAGTTACATACTATGTTCTTTGTTTGTCTGTGCTGAATTAATTTATAGGAAATGGTTTACCTGTCAAATATGGAGTATATCACAAGCCAATAATTGTAATTCATAAGATTCCTTAGCATTTGGCATGGTCTCCTTTACTCTAGGGTTTTCCTTCTGATGTTAAATCATTAAGTATATGAATTTATTAAAAGAAATTATGAAGCATTTTACTTGGAGGCCTGGAGAGAAATAGCAGAACACAAAATATAAATTATATAAAAAAAGGTGCATTGGTTCCTTTCAATGTAAATACCATGTGTGTGGTTTTTGCCTCTTACCTTTATTCCTTCAGTGAAGAAAAGCAATAAATGTTACATTAAATTTCCATGTGCAATATCAGTATCGGTATTAGGTAAATTTATTACTGTGTGCATTTTTATTTTTTTCTTTAATTTATTTTTTATTTTTTTATTTAATTTATTTTTTATTTTTATGTATTCATTTATTTATTTATTTATAAGCTAACCATATTCACCCTAAAAGATTTACACTGTTGTCAGAATCTGCTATTTATAGATGTTTAAACTTAAAATGCATTGATTCTGCATCTTCTACCTTTTTAGTTCTGAATACAGAATTTTAAAATTGTAAAAATAAATTCTGTAGGATAAGATGACACTATGAAAACTACAATGTTAGGTGATTCCGACGATTAGCATGGGGACGGCAGATAAAGTAGGTCTTTCACAGAACATACAGGTCTATGGTAAGGACATGACAATCATTTATTAATAACTAGTTTTTCCTGTTAATTTATCCATTAATTTTATTCCATATACTAAATATAAAGTAACTAATTGAGGTTGAAATATTCCACTATATGATGATTACTGATTGCATTTTGATATTCTAATACAGAGAGTAATGTACATGCACTACCTACACCTTTCCTGCACATACTGACAAATGCACATGCACTTGACATGATATTTCTCTAATTTTTCTGTGATAAAACATGAAATTTATTTGAATAATACACATTCCTAAGGTTGAGTGTGGCTTAGGCAGTGGCATCTGTGAAAGTGGTTTAATTTTATACTTTCAGGCATTTATCAGCAAAGGCTAAAAATGTTGCTTGCATTTTCACTTTCAAATTGTCCTGTGGATTACAGTGAAGAGAAATAAAGATATTTTTAATACTCTTTTTCATTACCAGATTTTACCCTGTAGAGGTGATTACAGTTGAATTTTGACTGTCATGAAGGAATATAATTAAGTAAATAAATAAAAGGATTGTTTCAGTAGTATATATAAATTTGCATAATGGCCCTCCCTCCAGTAAACTGATTGGTGGAGCCTAAGGAAGCTCATGGCAAACCAGCTGTTAGCCACAACAAATGTATGGGTGTATAGTTTCCTCCTACTTATCATATTTTGTGACCCTCATGATGACTTCATAGCTGTTACAATAAGAGACAAATGGTTTGCAAATGTATGTGACTGTATGATGATTTTGAAAAGATTATCTGGGACTCTATCAGGTCTTATATTAGATTAATAACCAAAAGATTATTAAATATAGCCAAGGGAAGCATGTGGTCCATTGACATATGCAATATGAATATATGAAGGAGTAAAACATTACATGCTTCTTGGATATACAGGATCACAGTAATTTTGTAAGGTTTCAAAACTTCTAGATGTTGATTAGTAAAACATGAAATTTATTGAATATACACATTCCTAAGGTTGAGTGTGGCTTAGGCAGTGGCATCTGTGAAAGTGGTTTAATTTTATACTTTCAGGCATTTATCAGCAAAGGCTAAAAATGTTGCTTGCATTTTCACTTTCAAATTGTCCTGTGGATTACAGTGAAGAGAAATAAAGATATTTTTAACACTCTTTTTCATTACCAGATTTTACCCTGTAGAGGTGATTACAGTTGAATTTTGACTGTCATGAAGGATTATAATTAAGTAAATAAATAAAAGGATTGTTTCAGTAGTATATATAAATTTGCATAATGGCCCTCCCTCCAGTAAACTGATTGGTGGAGCCTAAGGAAGCCCATGGCAAACCAGCTGTTAGCCACAACAAATGTATGGGTGTATAGTTTCCTCCTACTTATCATATTTTGTGACCCTCATGATGACTTCATAGCTGTTACTATAAGAGACAAATGGTTTGCAAATGTATGTGACTGTATGATGATTTTGAAAAGATTATCTGGGACTCTCAGGTCTTATATTAGATTAATAACCAAAAGATTATTAAATATAGCCAAGGGAAGCATGTGGTCCATTGACATATGCAATATGAATATATGAAGGAGTAAAACATTACATGCTTCTTGGATATACAGGATCACAGTAATTTTGGAAGGTTTCAAAACTTCTAGATGTTAGAGATAACTTCAAAGATGTTGATTAGTAAAAAAAACTTATTCTTGTTCATACAACTGAGCAATACTTAATGGGTACAAGGGCTTTGCTTACCATTGAGCATTAAACAGCCAAAATGCACATGCCCTTAGTGGAGTGAAATAACTAGACAATGACTGCAACCATTAGACTATGTGGATATCATGGTGATTGCATGGGGAGGGCACAGTCTACTAGGCAGGGCTAAACTGTGGATAGGTCATTAGTAGTCAGAGAATAGGTTTGCAATTTCATGGCAGATACATTTTATCAATATATGGGTAATACATTGAAAAACTAGGCATTGCAGCAAAAATATAATGGTGTAATGTGGGCATGTGGGCCATAATGTTTTAGAAGCTAATTTTCAAAGCACTTTGTCATGTAACCCCACATCTTGTAAAACATATGTTGGGATTTTGTTAGTAATACATCAAGGTACACAGAAGTATCTGGAGAAAGACACTTTCTTTCATAATATATAGCACTACTAAATACTGCATTTTCTGATGATTGTTTCCAAGCTAAGTATTATTTTTATTCCTTTATTCTTGTTTAGGTTCTCACTTCTGGTTTGTTACAATGTAACCTTAAAGTATACAGTCATGTTTTACATTCTGTCCTATGTCAATTGCATTACTCTTTTCCTTTTTTTTTAATGTAAAAAGTCTGGTACATTGAGATATATTTTAATGGATTGTTAATATTGGGTTGAAATCTGTCAGCAATGAAACCTCATAAAACTATACGAACAAGACATGGTTAAACTGTTAAAAAAAAATCTGCCTTTTCATTTGTTTTGAATTATCTTGTATTATATTTTTGTTTTTTTTATTACACTTTCTATTTTTTTGTTATTATATTAATTGATGCCAATTTCATGATCTTCAAGAGACTGGATACCTTCACTTTTTCAGTCTTAACAGTGCATAGTTAAGCCCAAGCTACTGTGGATGGCATGTATATACATGTCATGCCCACTGCAAGTTTAATTTAATTATTTTTACACAGATGGCTCCACATGTACCAAGTCACCAATGAGCCAATTATGAGTACTACCTGTCTCACCCATACCCTTTTCCTTGATTTTCAAAAATATTTTCTGGTATCTAATATTGCTTTTAGAAATGTCAATAATAATACAATATTTATAAGCATTGATACTATTAGTAAAAAAAAAAAAAGGTTTTCCCATGAAAGGTGAAATCAGGTGAGATCACGAGACTTTACTTCTTTGTGGCTAAGCCCTTGCAGAGCCATCTATGTGCAGAGACATTTCACAATCCTACAGTGAACATATTTTTCCAAGGCCTTAGGGGTAAGTCAGGTCATTGTGTATAGTTCTGTACTGAAAATTAACAAAGGTTTATCTTTAACTATGGTAACTAGTTTATCCCTTTTTTTATTGCTATTATTTCTGTTGAAAATCTGCATACTATTTTTATACGGTTCTCTTGAGCATTTGCTTGTGAAAAAACAGGACACGGAAGCTGGATATTACATCCACATAAAAATACAGGGGACTAAGTCAAGTGCTTTATTGTACACTTCCAGTACAAAAAATGCTAAAAATGTGTAACATGTCACAAAAGGGTGATTAAACAAAGAGTGAAGATATCTGCTTCATGCTTTCTCTCTTTCAAACTTGAATAATACATACTTTTGGAATTGAACTATGTAAGCTTTGGTATGCACAAAAACAATATAATATAAATGTTCATAAAGGAATTTGAGGTTCTTTCTAAAATTACATAACCAAGATCCATCAGAAACCATTCATTTCACTATAAAAAAAGGAATATTATATATTAAAGAAAAGCTACTGTGTATTTTTACTGTGTACAAATACTTTTATGTAAGGAAAATACATATCTTATCATAATGGATTTCAGGTACTGTCCCACTTCAATTTAGATTAAATCAGCAACTGTAATAAAAGGAGGAATATTGGTTAGACAATGTACAATATATTTGAAACACTAATAGGATATGCAAATTCACTAATAACAAATCATACACATATTTACCATATAATGGTCTTTGTACATCACTCACAGACTATTGTTAGTATATAAATCATAAAGAAATTAAAAGAATTACACTTACCATTCATGGGCATTTCATCAATCTGTGTTGAGTAGTACTGTTCAATATCTCGCAGGATACGAATATCATCATTCTTCACAAAGTTGATGGCAACACCTTTCCTTCCAAAACGACCAGATCGACCAATGCGATGAATGTACAACTCACGATTGTTTGGCAGGTCATAATTGATGACCAAGGATACCTGAAAACAACATAGTTACTTGAACCAAAGATATGTAGCTTTTTATAGTGTATGTCTTGTTACTTTTACCTCAGTGCAGACATGTGCTTCACACCATACTGGACCATGTGCCAAATGGAATCAGGAAAAAAGTAAAAGTACAGAAAACAATTTTCCTTCTCTGCAATATTTGTTCCAGTACATAGAAGTTACAGCAAATGAGGGACTGTAATACCTCAATGTCTGCAGTTCTGACCAAACAAGCAAACAACTATTTACTGCATACAACTTGGAGCAAACTTTGTGTACATAGACACCACCTGGTAGCAAGGGATTAAAACAAGTTATTCCTTGAGTATTCAAAGTATTGTTATGAAGTTTAATACCTTATAACCAATGTTTACTCTGCCTTGACTATAATTACCTGCTGCACATCAATTCCTCTTGCCCATATATCAGTAGTGATTAGTACTCGACTCTGGCCTGAACGGAACTCCTTCATGATGGCATCTCGCTCTTTCTGTGGCATGTCACCATGCATGGAAGACACCGTGAAATTGGCCTCTCGCATCTTTTCTGTCAGCCAGTCCACCTGATTGAGAAAAATAAAACAAAAAAACTTGTTACAATTAAAAATTACAATTCCATAAATTTTACTGGAAGTAGATGTACATAACAATAAAACGGAAAAAATACAAGAAAATGGTATGACTATTACTTATTGGTACAACACATTCTTTACTCTATTTAAGTTTTGCTCAAGTTGCCAAAGCTAAAGAAGAAAGTAACAGGAAACAATTTTTTAACATAAAGTGGATGAAATGCTCATTATCTTTTGAAAGTAAATATCAAAAACAGATAAACTAATATGGGCATTTGCCATTTTTTAATTTTAGAAATTAACTACTTTCAAAGAGAACTTTTAAAGTGGGACTTACCTTACGCTTTGTGTTGCAAAAGATTACTGCTTGTGTGATGGTCAGTGTATCATACAAGTCGCACAAAGTATCAAATTTCCACTCTTCGCGCTCGACTGCCACAAAGAACTGCTTGATTCCTTCCAGTGTCAGTTCATCACTGTCAAATATTTGTGATATTGAGAAAAAGGAAAGAAAGAAAGGAAGAAAAAAAGAGTCAAGTCAGCAGCAATGACCAAGTTCACAAATACCAAATGTTGTGTTCAGTATTTGTGAACTTGGTTATTGAACTTGCACATTCCACTATATCTTTGTTTTGTGAATTTTGTCTACACATGACACCAAAAATTTGTAAGCCTATCTGTCCTCACCTACTACCCCAAATCATGGAATGTTCAGATTTTTTCCCCCTATTAATATCATTACTGTTATCACTAAAATTATAATTATTATAATGCTATAGACAATACTACTACTATAATATATACAATAATAATGATAATAATAGTAACAATACCTACAACAAAATTAATAATAATAATAATAAACATAGTAATAGCAATAATAATAACTTCATAATCATAATGATAA